CTCTTCCGAAAGGGAGGCAAAACAAAATCCTTTCCTTGCTTCAGGCTGTTTTGGAGACCTTAAGGACTCTCAAACAGAAATGTCACATAGGCCGAAATTCAAGTAGTAAGTTCCTTGATTGCTTGAACTTTCCATAACTGCATAATAAAAAATAGAAATTAGGGGTTTGTTGGATGCAACAGGTAGTTCCAGTGAGCTGAGAACTTGCAAACGGAGCTCAGAAATTACATGCTGCAGTGAGAGGAGGCTTCAAACAGCAAGGCTGGCTCTGTGGTTGTCTCAGCTTGTGACCTGAGGTGTAGTGAGTACTAACTCCCACAAGCTCCAAGGCAGATGAGCACAGCCTCTTGCAAAAAGCCTCAGTATCTTGTAGCATCAGCACTGAAGCTGGCCAGAGAGGTGAAACAGTGGATCGGAGATGAAGTTTGCAGCAGAGCCCTGAGCTCAAAATGTCAGATCAGTTGTCAGCAAGTCATAAGTGCGACAGAACTTAAGTACACTGGCTTTTAAAAAAAATTATTTTATTTGAGAATTAAAATTTGGAACTAGAAATAGGCTGGTACTTGTAATACACACTGACTGCTTCCAAGTAGAGCTTGTACTGAATATGGAAAAAACCTTTTTTTACAAAACATTTCATAGTACTTAATATGCCCTGATTTTATTTTAGGAATTGTTAATTGCTATCCAGAAGAGGAAAAAACTAATGGCAGTAATAAATTGGAAGAAAACTGATCTATCAGAGTCTACATTGAGATTAAAACAATCTTTCTACTGTCATTAAAAGGGAATTTACAGATATATAAATAGTAAAATAATAAGCATTCCCCTTCCCCCATACAGTATTCTGGCTTCCAGTCTGCAAGTTTACCATTTTGTGAAACTATTTCTATAGTTTTTATCTAGCTGACTGAAGAAAATACCTTTCCATGTTTTTAGTTTAAGTGAAGAGGGAGAACTTGTAACAGGTTGTTCTGTATTGTGATAGTAAAAAATTTTAGAATCTAGATGCAATATTTATCTTAAGAAATCTGCAAGTACTTCTGCAGGGTTATTCTGTGTTAAAATGTTTCCAACACAATATTAAGATTTGGCATTTTTCTTTCAGATACTGATGAATACAGACCACCTGTTTGGAAATCTTACTGTAAGTATATCAACTGTTGTTTGGTTTGGTTTTTCCCAAGTCAGACCTGAAAAAGTTTCAGTTGGATGCTTTAAAAGACTCATTTTTCTTTTAATTATGATGTGAATTTAAGAAATATCAAAAGTAAAAGGACTCATTACTATTTAGAGAGAGGTGCAGTTGTTTATCCTCATGGACAAGCAAGCACAGATTGTTTGGAGGGGTAGATTCTCTGCACCTTGCCAACATAAGTGATCCCACTCCTTTGTGGAGCTGACTTACATTGATACAGCTGCCTAGACTGGGGCTTGCATAGACTGAATTCATCCCTTAAAGTTAATATCACTTGCACGCTTTAGTACCTTGTGTCACTAGAGTTGAGACTTGAGCTGGTTCAAGAAACTCAAAATAAATTGTTTTCCCCTGGAATTTGCTGATGTAGTGAAATGAGAGCATTTGTTTGTCCTGGCATGACAAACCGCAAGCTGTTTTTTTTGATGCCCTGAAGGACCTGGTTTCCTGCCCACCTGGGCTCTGAAGCTCTTCAGTGTACATGTCTTAGCTGAAAGGAAGCTGGCCTGGCAGGCTGCCTTAGTCAGGGGTGCAGGGCAGTAAGCGGGGTGCATTCCCATGAGATCGGAGCACCCATTACCTTGGGAATTTCATAACTTGATGATTTTCATTCCTAATTAAAAAAAAAAAAAGGGGGAGGGAACTAACCCGGCAAACTTGCATTTCAAAATTTAAAGGGATAACCTATTTGGAAGCACCGATGGAGAGTCAGGTAGATTGAAGAGAACATGAGACAAATGGCACCGTAGCAAAGCATCCCAAAGTTGATCCCGAAGTGTATCACCTCTAGATTCTAGTTCTTTGCAGGTAGAAAAAGCTAAGATGTGAGACATCTTGAGACTTGAGGGACACCAGAAAGAAAATGTGTCTTCTCTTGAAAACACAATGTTTGTGGGTTTAACACACTTAACAGTTCAGAGAGATCAGACTTATATTTGCATATTCTTCTGTATATGTTCCCAAGGCTTGGTGTCTTCAGATTGGCTAAAGGGAGTTGCTCAAGCAACATTTCACATGGTGCAAATGTTGCTCTCTAAAGGTTGGGGAGTTTTGGCATCTGAGAAAACATAGTTATTTCACAAAGGTTTCCATCCTGTAGTGAGAGATTTTTCTCAGTCAGAGACTTTGAGTTGGTCGTAAAGGCTTGGTGAAAACATGGTTACAAAGAGAGTAAGTGTAAGAGAGCAGATTCAAGTATTTTTGTCAGGTAAATTATATGTAGTAGAATTAAATGAGCATTAGAAGAACACCTTTTCTGTCACCTAGCAGTTCTTTCCCTGCCATTGCCAAGCTGATGCATTCAAAATCAGAGTTAGCCCTTAGAACTTATAAATCAGCCTTCTTTATTTTATTTTGGTTTCAAATTTTTGAGTTATTAAAGTGATTATTAGTTACATAGTCAAGATCTTCTGTGCAATATGGGTTTATTTCTATGAGAACGTGCCTTATAAGAAATTTCAGACAGCTCAGGCTGTAAATAAATACTCAGATATTGTGAAATTTGTAGTAAAAATTACAGGAGTTGGCAAAACTGTGTGCATCTTAACAGTCTAGGATTATCAGGGTCTCTTAAACATTTGTGTTAATTGAAGAAAAGACAAAGGTAATGTCTAAAAAAAGGCTGAAGAATTTTAATTTGTCCCCCTCTCTTAAGTGTTGTTTTTAGATGGATGACTTTGAACGGTTTTTAATAACTGCCAATACATGAAATTGCTGTCATGTAATTGAGACAGCTGAGCCCTTGGTCTGCTTGTGAATCTGGTGGCAAAGCCTGTCTGTGCCTTTTGAATTATCATTTATTATACCAGTAGCTTGTAATATGCCAAGTCAGCCACTTAATATTAAAGAATTTGTATACAGAATGGTTTGAATAAGGTTTTTTTCCTTGCAGCAGAGGACTAAAAAAATAAGACTAAAACACTTGACTCCTTGATATTAAACATCATTAGTCATGATTGCGATACATTTTTATACTTGCTACCGAGATCTGTGTGTTTTTCTCCCAGTTGTAAGCATGAATAATGAATCACTCCATTTTTCTCTTTGTTCAGAAAGGTTGTCACTGAGCAGTGGCAGAAGCAGGTTTGATTCTGCAAAGTTCTGAATGACTCTTGGAAAGTCTTGTCATATTTCAGGTGACTGTGTGCCCAGCGTAGTAGGACGGGACTCCATTTACTTACTGAAGAAAGTCTGACAGCAGCCTGATTTGACATATAAAAGAATTTAATTTGCATTTATCATTTCTTTTCTGATATGCTTGATTGAACTTGACTGGTGTCACCTAGTTACTCTGTAGTATTTGATCAATTAATTGTGAAGATAATCAATAATTCCATTTTGGCTAGCAGCAGTCTTTTCTTCTGACCACTTGCAAATAGTTTTTGAGACCTTCATATATGTGTCCCTGCATTAAAATTTGCAGGAAGTCTTCCTTATTTAAACAGCAATATTGAATGTTAAAATGCCTAACTTATACAATGACTCTGTATTAATCAGAATTTAACTTCTGCCTTCTCCCAGTATATCAGTTGCAACAGGAAGCTCCCCACCCTAGAAGGATAACCTGCACTCGTGAGGTGGGTATTATAAAAGTTCCACTTTATAGAGTTCAGTAATTTCAAGTCTACACTTCATGGTGTCAACCCAAACAGCGGTTCATTGGGACACATGGTGCTGTGAGTAGACTAAGTACCCTCCGGGGCCCTGGTAGAAGAAAATCAAAATAAAAAGCATTTTGAGTACATAGTGTATACCTGAGAATCATTTACTAGTTTTTGATTCTTTGATACATGGTAACATACTTTTTCTCCTCTTTTTTTGGGTCAGAAATTCACAGAAGCAAGGCCAGAGCTGTACAGTGGAGCTGTCACCTGTTCATGCACACATTGCTGCTAGGTGTATGCAATAAATCAAAAGAGGGAAGAGTGAAACCTCCCCTGGTGCTGTGAGTTGAGCTGTAGTATTGAAGACTCGTTAATACTACTCTTAATGAGACTAGTAGCTTAATACTCTAAGCTAACAGAGCCCTAGATTTTAAGGATCCAAACAGTAACAGAATCCTGTTGCTATGCAGTGTTACAGAAGCACCTGCTCATAGGGTGAGTTGTTCAGGCAGATCCCAAATTGCTAGTGTTCCCTTCAGTTAGCAACCTGAGAAGCATTAATTTCCATTTCAAAAATGCTGGAATGTTAGGCTTGACTTGTTAGTGTTACAAAACCCAGCTCTTACTGAATAACCACTGGAGGTTATTACATTGCTGCAATAAAACTTGAGCATTTTTATCATGTGCCAAGAGAAAGGAAATTAGTCTTTGAAATATGTTAGTCACTTTGACATAGTTTGAAATCACAGAATGTTGGGGGCTGGAAGGGACCTCTGGAGATCATTGAGTCCAACCCCCCTGCCAGAGCAGGACCATCTAGTCTAGGGCAGATCACACAGGAACCCATCCAGATGGGTCTTAAAAGTCTCCAGGGGAGAAGACTCCACAACCTCCCTGGGGAGCCTGTTCCAGTGCTCTGGAACCCTTACAGTAAAGAAGTTCTTCCTCATGTTGAGGTGGACCTTCCTGTGCTCCAGCTTGTATCCATTGCCCCTCATGCAATACAGAGGGACACAGCACTGCCAGGAACAGTAATAGCTTACAGGCCAGATCACAAGGATCACTTTACAGAATTAAACAGGCATTTCTCTGTTGTCTTTTCAAATATCCAGCTGTGATTCTGTGAAGTAGTCTATCGGTTTTTAAGATGAGTAGAGATTTAACAGAAGTAAAATACTGCATTTAGTGGAAGCATTCTTGTTTTCCTTTGATAATTTAATAAATTTCTATTTTTCTGAAATGTATAGCTATAGCTGATTTCACTTAAGCAAGACATAGATATAGGAAAGAGCAATACATGAATTTTACAAGAAGCATTATAGCAAAAAGTTTTGGTTTACCTAGTGTTTCTACTGTTAATGAGGGTCGAAGCAGGGGTGTTTTTAAGGTGGTTGTGCAGACATCTTAAAGTGGGATGTAGATTTGAAGAAGAGATCAATAGAAGATCTGAGTTGTGAAAAAATGGGAGGTTTTCCCTTTTTTTTTATTCTTACTGCAACATTATTAGTAAAGTTCTCTTCTATTTTGTGTTCTCTATGATAGGGTTTTTCATTACATTAATAGAGAAAATAGAAGTCTTGTAGAAGTCTTAGAATAGAGGTTTGCAATTGTACGGAGTGCTCACCTGGATAGGATGTAGTAGTTTACTCCCTACCTCAAATGGATTGTGTTTATTGTTAAGTGCTGTTGAATAGCTGATTTTTCCTTCCTCTCCTCAGAAGTATTTAACTGTTTGAAAAAGTGCTAGTGTGTATGTATATGTATATGTGCATACTGTGAAACATATGAGGGATTTTTGGTAGCCTTCTGATGCTGTTCATTGAGGTACTGACATTATGCTTGTACAATCCCTGTTGTCTTTTATTTGCTGAGTCTTATCTCAGAGCCCTGCTATTGTTTACTCATGTAGTGATAGATTTATAGTATATGCTTATAAAGTTGCCTGGCTCACGTGGTGGCAAGTGACAGTTCTTCAGTTTCTTCAACTGAGAAGGCTTTGAGAGCCTCAGTTGTGAATGTTTGAATTTTTGCAGCATTAGAACTTTCATTTTCCTATATACTTTTTGATATTTCTTAGAATAATATTAGCTTATCCATTACAATAAGCAGTGATATAAAAGCATATACAGTATCTAAAAATTAAAAATGTCTTTTGCCTCTGGAGTACTGTAAACCCTTCAGCTATTAATCAGATCCAGGTTTACTTTTTTTATTTTAAAATCAAACAAGAGACCTACTTTTGCCAGTCAAATATAAAAGCATCTGTGTAAAGCTTCTTCCAATACAAATCACAACAACCACTATAATTTTCTCATCCTCTCTATCGTTGAATTTTAATACTGTTAATTATAAAATTTTATTAGCTATTATACAGATGGCATATTCAAAAGCTGGACTATTTTAGGGAGGAAAATTTGCCGTGGGTATGTGATGTCCTGCATAAACTAATCATCCAAGCTCTTTAGAGGGTATGTGAGCATACTGCATCACTGCATAGAGAGGTTCTCCTGGTCTAATTCTTTAAACAGGTAGACTGTTAGAGTCAGGAGGGGATTGGTGAAAGTACCACAAGCAACCAAAGTACTCTGCTAAGTCTTGTCATCACTGAAGAAAAAAATGCAACACATTAGTGTCTAAAATGTACTTCTATTAATTTATTCCAAAACAAGATTATAACATATGACAGACTTTAAGCGTAAAACTTTCCCTGTGACGGAGTGAACAAAAAAAAAGAGAGACATTCTGTGTTTTAAAGTATCGTCTTGAACTCTGCAGAGTAAACCTCTGTCTGCACTATGAACATGGTTGTGGAAGCTGAGAAATAAAATCTGCACTTTTGAGAAACTAGTGAGAATGGAACTAAAATAGAGCTATGAAAGAATCAGTCACTTGCAGGTATTTAGCTGCAGTGCATATTAAATACACATTTTCTCATTAGAGAATCCATTTACCAAAAGACCCTTTGTAGGTTATTTTTACCTAATAATAAAGGTAAAATTGAAATAATACATTATCAGCATGCATTTCCTACTTCTCCATTAATTTGTTATAGTGCAGATAACTGGTTTTCATTGCAAGTGTTGAACAGTTTATGCAGCTGAGACAGATTTGAAGTGAAAATATATTCAGCGAGCAGTAATAAGTGTAACCTTTCTCTCTGATCTCAGCCCCCTCGCTAGTGTTGGGGAGCTTTGTGATCTGCTGTTTCTCAGCTGGGTTTCTATTAGCACCCATGTGTGAGTCAGTGGGGAGCAGAGTCTTTTCTTAAGTGGTTGAATTATTCAGCTGTGTAAACAAGTTAATAAATATTAGGAAGAGAATTTTGGTCCAGAGAACATCAAAGAGGTCAGTGGGAGGGAACAATATGTGATTTCATAAGGTATTGGCACGTAAATTGTTCCTCTTGCCTTACGGCATTCCACTTGTTCACATAAGCAAGAGTGGTGATTAGGAGGAAAAAGCACTTGTTAAAAAATAATTGGAGATCACACTGTAAAAAAACCAACCTTTTATTTAATGTGCAAAGGCATGTGTTGTACAAGTGCCGGTACTGAGAGGTGTATTCAACAGAATGACCTACTTAACATGAAATGCTTCTCAGATAAAGAGAATTTTAGTTTCTGCTCTGTTACACCAGTTTGATATCAGAGCAACACACAGATCAGTGGAGTTATACTGAAGTAAAAAGTGCATTGCATTCATATGGGATTTTTTTTTATTGTGAAGGTGCAGCAGAGGCAAGGCTTTTAACTCTGTGTGGTGCTCATTTGTAAAGTTGATGATACCATAATATTTGAAGGATGTTTGACTTCTGCATGAGACTTTAATCCAAATTGTAATGTAATGTAAAATTCAATTAATATTGTACCACATCCCTGGACTTTGTATTTGTTGTGTATATAATAGTTTATATGCACAAGTGTGCACATGCAGACATATTTAGGGCATCCTCGACTGCTATATGAAGGCACTCCGTGATAAATTTTAAATAACTATCTATTAAAAAATACCAAATAGACAAATGATGGAGGTAATTAAAATCACTGGCCTTTTCCATCCTATTATGCAACTTCATCCTGATTCAGTGCTAGTAGTTAATAAGCCAGTTAAACAGCATCTCTGTGTAGGCTTGTGAAAATGGCCTCTGTGACTATTCAAGAGACATAGCATAGACCAGGCATATATAATGCACACCCTTGTTAGAGCTGGTCTCAAAGATGACTTTTTCTGTATGATATTCACACAGAACGACTTCTTAACTTTCATGGTAACTTAGCCCTTTTCTGGAGGAGTGGCTACTGCAGGCACTTGCCAAGTCTGCTCCATTTATCTGTTCATAAACTTGGTTTCATTTGATTCCCACCTCAGCTTGAAAAAATTAGAAACAAAACAATAGTGGATATCTCACTGACCTGTGTTTTTCTTGCAGGCATCATAGTGAGATTTGAGTCTTTCTTGTGGCCTCTACATCAGTGCTACACAAATTAACACAAATATCTCACTCTTTTTATTTTTTTTTCTAAGTTAGAAGCAATTTCTAAAACTGTGCTAAACATGGGCTAAACAAACAGTGATACGATTTTTTTTTCCCCTAAATAAAAAGTCCTAATATTTCAAAAGTTTGTATGTAGCCCAGCTAATTCTGAGTGAATCATAAGGCCCCTGCTGAGCTCTGATGACATTGCCTTAGACTCTAAATGTATGCATTCAATCCCAACGTCCAAAAACCCTAATATTATAATAAATTTTAAAAGTTATGGGGAAAAAAAGAAAGCCAAAAAGCAGGCAATAGAAGTCAGTAAATTGGGGTTCCCCATGCAATGTCTTACCAAGCAAACAGTGTTACGCATCAACGTCTATACTGAAGTTTTTTTGAGTTGGTAAAACCGAACAGTAAAGACTCAATGGTAACAGAAGTTATTATTTTCCTCTCTAATTCATCACCCAGCAATTTGAACTGCAAACCCAGCTACAATTGCCTGGAAGTCCAGCGAAGCTTCTCTCTGACGCTTTGCTGCGGTCATCTGCCAGTTCACATTCAAATGTTTACACACACAGGGTATAATTTGACAGTTTGTTGTAAGATTTGTAAGTACTCTGAAGATGCCCCGTCAGCTTCTGAAGTGGAATGCCTTGGCCTATATATATATTCCAGTTCTGTCATATAAATTCACTGTATTCACTGAGATAAATATAAAATCTCAATAGAGAGACAGCAAAATCTTATTCACAACAGGATTCTTTTTTTAATGACTGCCTGAGACTAGTGTCTTGAGAGCTCTAGTTAGAAATTCTTGCAAGTTTCTATAATAAAAACAATAAAATATTTTTACTTTTTCTCCATTCATATTGGTATCTTCCTGTTGAAGAAATAGCCTACATTCAACAAAAAATATGTAAGACTTTTTTTTTTTTTAAATGATCCAGTCTCTTCAGTCCCTTTGAAAACACTTATTACAATGATCAGCTTGATTGCTGTTATGTAGGAAAAAAAATCTTTTAGAACATTAAAAATGTTTCCAATGATGGAATGATTTTTCTAAAAGCGATGAACCATCACAATATCTTTTTGTTTGCTGGGAACATGGAAGTGTTGTTATTAGACTGTACAGCAGGATGTATTTTTTGTTGTTTTGGGCATCTGAAATATTTTTTCATACTCCAGTGAGGTAACTGGAGAGAAGCCAATTTGAATGGGCTTTTTTCCTGAAGAGATGGAAAAAAGAAACTGAAGTGGCAGTTGACTGTATAATAGCTGCATCATTTTCTACTTTTGTAGTTCAGGCTGTATAGTTGTTGAATTTTAGTCTTCAAAGAGTTTTACCCTGTAAATTTAGCGAGGAGAGATAATATGATGATTTTAGATTATTGAGCTGATTTCTGGGAGGTCTGCAGTTCTTCACTTGTCTTTAAACTTCTTGGACAGTTGCAGATGAGTTGCTTCATCTGAAATACTTAGCAGGCAAATTGTGTTCTGCCACCCTTGCACGTTGTGTGCATTGACAGTGGATGGTGCCTCGGGCATGGGCAGACTGGTGTTACACAGCCTGACCCATGCATATCTGTTGTTGAGTCCATTTGGGCAATACTACAGATCACACAGGTTAGTGAAGTCAAGACTGAGATGCATGATCCTTGAATCTACCACTTGCCCTCACTCTGAGGGGATATGGTAGTGGTTTAATTTTTCACAGCAGTGGCACCAACAGCTCTATGATGGAAGATAACCTATAAATTTGGGAGTTTTATAGATGTTTCACTATATTAGTGCACTTAACAATACAGTACACTTAGGCCCATGCAATGAATCTTTCATTTCCCCTTTCGGGCAGTTTCTACAATACTTAATGCTATCGGTTTGTATTAGCAGAGTTCCAAGGATGACACAATCCAAGTGGCTCATTCTTTCTCGCTGTTTTAAGCCATTCAAGTGCAATGTTTCCTGAAGGTCTACCTTTGTTGTCTGTATATTCCACCCACGGGGAAAATCCTGGGATAGCAGATGACTTTTTTCTGTGCTTTCATATTATATACTTTTCTGGGTTTAATACTATATTATGGACAGTATGCTTACTGTGTTGAGTCACTTGTTATGAAACACTGCAATTTCTGTTGTTTCTTCTAGGTAGAGAACAGACCCAAATATTATGGAAGAGAGTAAGTAACATACATCTTCGAAAGTGGTTTATCCCAACATGTTGGTTGATAATAGTTACAGAAAAGGTTGAAGGTGTTTGCTCTGGGTCCTTTCTTTCTTCTGTGTGTTTTACAGCAGGGTGTCTTGCTTACCATCAGATTATTATGGTACTATGGTTTTTGTCTGCCTAAAATTGCAGCACAGACAAAGATGATTAGATATAGTGTGGGGAAACAAAGCAGATCTTACTTGCATTTATTTTGGTAAAATGTGTAGTGTTGCTAGTATTACACCAGTAATTAGTGAGATTATATGCAATCCCCAAGATTTCAGCAAGTTGCCATAATGTTCCTGAATGCTGCAAAATATCAGATTGCATGCCACTGGCACAAACCTGTAGCCAGCAGGAGAAAATGGTTTTCTTTCTACATATTAAATGGATAGATGCAGATTTGAAAAGCAATATTCTTCTTTCACAGATACTGTTTCATAGAAGCATTTCTAAACCATTTAAAGTTATTCAAATACAGGCAGAAAGGGAGATTAATTTAAAGTGTAGATTCCTGGAAACCAGTAATTTTTATATTTGTTTCTTTTTTAATTACCATGGTTGGTGGTTTTTAAAAGAAGAGCAAAAGGGGATTTAAAAGTGAAAATAGATGTGTTTTAAAAAGTCCTTGTTCCTTAGATTCCATGGGATGATCTCAAGGGAGGAAGCTGACCAATTACTAAGTGTGGCAGAGGGAAGCTATCTCATTCGTGAAAGCCAAAGGCAACCTGGAACCTACACTTTGGCATTAAGGTTTGTAATGAATATTTCATTTTCACATTTATAAAATATTCAAAAGATTGTATACTGGTGTTGACTCTAGTGCTTAAACTGCCTTATGATTATTCTAATTGGTTTTTGGTTTTGTTTTTTTAAGATCATGGTACTTTTTTTACCCTAGTTACAGATTTGGTGTGTTTAACTTTCCCTAACCCTTTCCAAAGTGCTAACTTTCCTTATTATTTGCACCATCAGGATAATAACAATTGTGGGTTTGCTGATGGTGTTTCATTTTACCCCTCCCCCACTGTATTACAGGCATCACGCCATGTAGATGTTGGGAGAGCAGTGGTCAAGAAATAAAAGTCATCACAACAGTGTGAGTTACTTGCTAGGTAGCTGTTGTTGAAGAGCAGTTGGTTCTCTCTAGTCCCTTTGTGGGATGGCAAATAAGATGGGCCCTTTCTAGGCTTCTGGTATCTCTTTCAAAACTGGGAAACCTCTCTGAATGCAATCCAATCTATTTTTATACCCAATAGAAAAGAGAATGGATAGCTGCTAGTGACCAGCTTGGAACAGGTAGCAAAGCTGTTATCATTGATTCGTTTTGAGGAAATTCATTATTTGGCAAAACACCTCAAAATCTGAAACTACAGCATGTTGCAGCCGTTTCATGAAGTTGAAGTGCTAGCTGAATGACTTGTATATTAAGGACAGTGACCTAGGTGGCTGCTTTCCACCCCACAGCAAATAATGCTTTGTTGTCTTGCTGTTGACTTTTAAAGTATACAAATGAGGGTCTTTGCTCTCATACTTCAGATGAAAGTTCTCTGTGAGCTGTAGTACTGTGTATTCCCCACCTGTGAATTTTACCACTAGGATTTCTTTTTCTCTCTGCTACAGAGTACAGCAGGAGTCTGTGTTTCCATTAGCTGGAGGCAGAGTTCTACTCAGTTTCCATTTCTCTTCTCTCTAGAATTATATATGAAGAATATACCCATTAGCTAATGTTATCACTGACTCCATTGCTGACATTATAGCATCTCTTTAACAACTAGGTAATTTCTGTAGTCTTTCTGTTCATCCTGACTGTGAGAAGTTTGCTCTGATTGCCATGATGTAATTTTACCTGTAATTTATAGCGTTTTTTGAGACTGTCTTTTGGGTTTGCGTCATTGTACTGCCAGATGGCAAATGTAGCTCTGTCTTCAGCTAAGATAATCTTTTTTAGCAGGAATTTCAGAATGTCATCTCCATGGCCAGAAATGAAGCTTGTCAGTAGGGCGGTATGTATGGGTAAAACCTTTCCAAGTTTGATGGAAGACTTGATTGACTTCAGGATCTCTAATTCCACCCTTTCTTTTCTAGCTGTGTGAATCATTTTGACCTTTTCATACTAGCCTTAAATGCCACTCTGTCATTAAAACAGTTGTGTTAATCTTAAAATCACTTCTGTATGGTTTTGATTTTTATTCTCTGCTTTTTCTTTCCTCCCACACCTTCTAAAGGATAAAACAAATTTGGTCAACTGTTAGTTTTACATTAAAAAAAAAAAAAAAAAAAAAGAGACACAGAACAAGTTTCACAGCATTTTACAAAGTTAACCCAGCGATGCTGAAGAGGTGCTCTAATCCTGCAATAAATAACATAGTGGCAAAACATAAAATGGACTATCCGTATTTTCTCATTTCTGTTTTTCAAACATACTTTCGAAAATAAATGCTGAGTAATATTTAGATGTTTGAGGATACCTACCCATAAACTCTTGACATAAATACTTGGTTCCTTCTGTATTTCTGTGTATCTACTCAATCTGTATCTCACAGTGTATGCTTGTTGCCTGACTTCCTTGTCTCTAACAGTCTGTCAGTTGTGATTAGGACAAATGGGAAACTGCATATGAAATGTGGTTGCGTCGTAAAATCCCAGTTCATCGAAAGTCTTGTGGAAACATTGGATAGGTAGGATAAGCTGCTGTTGAGACAGGATTGTTTCCTGGCTTGTAGTTACTGATTCTTCTCCTGGGGGGCAGGCGATTCAGTACCACAGGCAGCTCAGCACACCCAGCTTTGGCAGATGTCTTCTTCCTGCATTTATGTCAGTGTGCCTGAGAACAATAAAAAAGACAGTGCACCCAGACGTGAAAAGCAGTTTAGTGAAACAGGATCACAACCCTTTCTGTAGCAAGGTATGATGTCTCCAGTCTTCACCTCTGCAATGGAAAAATCCAAGTTTCTTGTGCTTTGTCCTGAGGAGCCAAATAGGCCAACTCCTCCAATCATCGTTGAACAGTTTGAATGCTCTGTTTGATTCCAGCAGCTTTTATAGCTAATGTCTAAAATCTCACCGGTATGTTTATACCAGCCATCACTGAAGGTGTGTGGAATTTTGTTCCAGCTGTAGTTTTGATTTGTCTAATATTTTGCTTTGGCGTTACTAAATTAAGTGAAGGCATTGCGTCCTCTGCATCTTTGGAAACCAAAAAGGAAAGTATCCTGTTGTTTTTTGTTTGATGGATTTATTTTGTATTACAGTTTATTTAATCAACATCAAATATCTGCTGTTTCTAACGTAATTAAATTGGAACTTAGAAAAAATGCTTTGAAAAACCCTTTAGCTACAAAGCAAGCTAGGTGAGACATAAAGGTAGAACTCGGAATCCTTATTATGACTTCCCAACCGTTGTATTTGTGAAGAACACATCATCCTCTACGCCACAAATGTAATAGAGGTTAATCAACCATAGCTCAACTCTGTAAAGTGAGTATCTTCTTCTGGAAATTACACAAGATCATCTCACAGAAGGCTGTATTATAGAGGAAAAACAACAACATTCTCTCTTGTTCCGTCTTTGTCCTCATTGCTCATTCCTTTCTAGACTATCCTTACAGCAGGCATCTTCCAGAGGTGCTCAGATTGTATTTGCTTTGCACTGAAGATTTCCACTTGTTAGTCATCTTTATATTTCTAGAAGATAAAGAGTAAACTGTTACCACCAGAAATCATAACTCCTTTGTAGGCAGATGAATTCATAATTATAAAAACATGTTTTTGTGAAATCTGGAACAGATTGGACAATCATAATAAGCTACAGCTTTCAGCTACAGCCAAAATGCACAGAATGCAAATGCAGTTGAGCATGAAGGTTCTGTAATGGGCTGTTTTACTCACAACATGGCTTTTCTGCATCCCACTTCTTTTTGAGTTACCTAAGAAATGCTTTGTCATCATAAAATGGGCAGAGCTGGGGAGAGATATGGGTAATTGTTTGCAAACAGTTTTTCCCCAGTGATATATCTCTGTTACTGTATTAACAAATTCTCTGACTGTCAACCCACTGGGTCAGATCAAAGGACCAGTTCGTAGTCCAGTCTAGTATCCACTCTGCAGTAGCTATTAATGTCAGATATTGGGGGAAAAAAAAAAAGTGTAAGAACAAGATGAGCATGTGGTAATAGTTCTCTGGTGTGCTTTCCCAGCCTCTGAAAATTTCCCATTCAGGGACTTCTGGGCAGAATTATTATCTTTGCTATTTTTTCAGGCTTTTGATGGAGAGATTTTTGTATTTTTGTCTAGTGGCTTTCTGAGCACATTTTTGAAACCTTGTAGACATTTCTGTCTGCAACTGTAGCATGAGCTCTATGCCTTAACTAGGTTTTATGGGAAGCAGAATCCTTTTTTTGAAGATTACATCTCACTATTTTATTGGATGCTCCCTAGTTTTTGTATTATGAGAAACAGGGAACAATTGATCTCCCATTTGCCTTTTCCATGCCACTCACATCACCCGTACTCTTTACAAGTCCATAAGTCCTAGGCTCTACACTGAAGTTTTGTAGTGAAGTTGTTCCCCTCACCATCTTTGTCTTCTCTTTCTCTGTGTCTTACTCTGTAATGATCTTTTGGAGATGGGGGGACCAGGACTGCACATTCTGTTCAAGATTAAGTGGGCCAGGAAATTTTCTTTCTTTATTCGCTAAACCTTTCTAAGTAAAATTTTAACCACTGTGGAGCATTCAGCTCTGATGCTTTTATAGAACTAGCTTTAGTAGCTCTAAAGATCTTGTTCCTGAGCTGCAATAGCTAGCACCGATTAAATGACCAAATATAGGACAGGACAAATAATAGCTGTTGCAGGCTTAACCAAGGCAGTCAAATATTCTTAGTGCAGTGCTGTGGAGTTTCAAAGTGAAGATTTTGAATATTTCTTCTTCTTTAATAGGGTAGAAAAACTTATCCTTGCCCAAAAAACCTTTTCTGTTATTAAGGTTTCCAGTGAGTTACTGTAAAAGTCTCCTCTCTACTTATATAAGAACCCACATTTTTGATCATCTTCTAATGAGCTATTTTTGTCTACTTTCATCCATTATTGTGCAATTAATTTGCAGCATGACTTTTTTTTTTTTTTCAGACAGACTATCTTTTAAATCTAAATTTGGAATGAGAGGTTTTGTTTTCAGAAAACAAATTCCTCATAATTTGTAACAGAGGTAGAAGTAATATGTTCTTAGGGGAGAAGAAAATTATAATTTAGATATTGTTTTAAGTGTGTAAGTTTAGCTAAATATTCAGAGCTGTCCCTCAAATAAAACTGATGTTTTGAGCCTAAAAAGGCCTGTGAAATTGTATCAGTTCAGACACCGGATAAAAGCATAAACAAAAATGAGAGCAGCAAATCAGCACCCTACTATATTTAATATCTGTATTTAATCATGGATGTGGTTTCTCATAGCTTATGTAAAATTTAAAAGAAAAAAAAGAGCACAGCAGAATTCACCAATGTTTGCTAATTAACTACTCAGAGAATGCCACTGAAAATTTTTTGCAACCCTGAGGTTTAAAAAAAAATTACTAACAAGAGAAAATTATTGTAGGTGTATATGTCTGTCCATAAATAGCAGCAAGACTCTGTGACACTAAAAATTATAAAATACATTGTAATGTTAATTAGATGTTTCAGACAGATGAAAAGAACTGAAAATTCCTAATTAACTCCTGGAGGTATTAGATCTGCTTTTAACTTGGCAAAAGAG